ATCTGGGGAGGGGAGCCCAGGGCTCATGCCAGGGCCCAGGTGGATGCTTGGAAGCAACTCCAGACCTTCTTCCACAAATACTTGGGTAGTAAAGCATTAAAGGGGCTCTCCTAGTAATACTTTGTTATTTGAAAGTTTGGAGGGTAAGACTGAATACATTCCAAGAATATCAGTTAAGATTAGTTTGTTGGGGGCCCACCAGGTGGTGTGGTTGTTAAGGCACTGAACTCCCCATGACCTACCACAGTCCCAGACTTAGCTTCTTGCCTTCTCATTTTCCCCCTTTCTGATTAAATTTAAAATAATAATGATGATGATGATAAATAAAACAAAATAATTCTTTTAAAAAGGATTAGTCTGTTGAGAATGTATTGGGTCGTCGGAAAAAAAATTACAACCTATTTTTCTATACAAAAATGCATCACAACTTTTCTGAAGACCCCATATTATTAAAAGTCCTTCAGGTATTTATTCTTTTCTCTTTAAATAATATTGCCATACAAAAATGAAAATTTAACACTATTGGGGCTGGCAGGTGGCATGTGGTTAATGGTGCTGGACTCCCACATGGCCAACCACAGTTTGAATCCTGGACCTGGCGGCTTGCTTTCTCACTTTCCTTCTCTCTCTCTATCTCACTCTGTCCCTCTGAGGTCAAGTTAAAAATAAATAAATAAAAGGTAAATAAACTAATTCTTTCAAATAAAAAGAAAATTTAATGCTATTTTAAAATTAAAACTTGAAATATTACAGACAACTGCCATCTCCTTCAACTCTTGGACTATTGTCACCACCATCATCTTCTTTCCTAGGAGTAACCTCTGTTATGATTTTTATTTTTTTTAACGTTTTGCTAGAAGGTACATATACTGGCCAGAGAGACAGGGAGAGAGCAAGAAAGTATGTCCCAATGGGATATGGTCATGCCTCAATCCCTTCTTTTCCATTTCTCTGTCCTGTCTGGATTTTGGCCATGCATACACTCACTCACGCCTGATATGACTGCTGGGGTCCAAATTTGAATAATGGGGTTGGCTATGTAGAATCTGGCTCCCTTAACCACTAAGCTATGGGGCCATCCCATTCTATTTTTAATTAGGTATAAAAAGAGGGCGGGACTAGCAGTTGGTGTAATGGCTATGTTGGACTCCCATGTAGTTGACTGTGGTTCGAGTCCCGGACATAGTTGCTTAAACTCACGCCAGGGAACGTGTGCATGCATGCCCAGGACCCTGAGAAGGAATGGAGAAGAAGAGATTGCAACATGGCCATCCTCTCTGGGGGTGATTTCTCACTTTCTGTCTCTCTGTCTCTCTCTGTCTTTCTGGCGAGCACTTGCACCCTATAGCTAAAACTTCTCAAAAAAAAAAAAGGGGGACCAGCAGTTAGTGTAATGGCTATGTCGCTGGACTCCCACGTAGTCAATCGTGGTTCGCGTCCTGGACCCGGTGGCTTAAAACCCACACCAGGCACATGTGCGTGCGTGCCCAAGATCCCGAGAGGAGAATGGAGGAGAAGGGATTGCGGCATGACCATCCCCCCTGGGGGGTGATTTCTCGCTTTCTGTCTCTCTGTCTCTCTCTGTCTGGTGAGCGCACGCGCCCTATAGC